AGTACCACTTTAATCGTTTTACAAACAGCTAAACCACAGTACCACTTTAATCGTTTTACAAACAGCTAAACCACAGTACCACTTTAATCATTTTATAAACAACTAAACTACAGTACCACTTCAATCATTTTATAAACAACTAAACTACAGAACCACTTCAATCATTTTACAAACAGCTAAACTACAGAAACACTTCAATCATTTTACAAACAGCTAAACTACAGAAACACTTCAATCAGTTTACAAACAACTAAACTACAGAAACACTTCAATCATTTTACAAACAGCTAAACTACAGAAACACTTCAATCAGTTTACAAACAGCTAAACTACAGTACCACTTCAATCAGTTTTGATTGAAGTGGTACTGTAGTTTAGCTGTTTGTAAAATGATTGAAGTAGTACAGTGGTTTAGCTGTTTGTAAAATGATTGAAGTGGTACTGTAGTTTAGCTGTTTGTGAAATGATTGAAGTGGTACTGTAGTTTAGCTGTTTGTAAAATGATTGAAGTGGTACTGTAGTTTAGCTGTTTCACAAACAGCCAAACCACTGTACTACTTCAATCATTTTACAAACAGCTAAACTACAGTACCACTTCAATCATTTCACAAACAGCTAAACCACTGTACTACTTCAATCATTTCACAAACAGCTAAACTACAGTACCACTTCAATCATTTCACAAACAGCTAAACCACTGTACTACTTCAATCATTTTATAAATAGCATAAATACAGTTTTTAATAATTTTACTATAGTTCAGCCACAATACTACTTAAATTATTTTATGGAAGCTTGACCATAGTTCCACTATAATCAAAATTTTGTCTAAGGAGCACATATCTACTTCAATCACTCTACAACAGTTTAACCACAATTTCTCATTATTTAATTTCTGTAGTGCATATTGGTGTATAGAAGACATTAATACCAGAAATAAACGACTTTATAACAACAAAATGTTGTTTTTATTTAACTAGACACTCAATGTTTCACTTCTTCAGGAGCGTTCTCTAAAACACAAACCAGAACTGAGAGTACAAAGCTTAATATCTCTATATCTCAAGGTGGAAGTTACCTAACTATGCAGCACATGGGATATGTGTGAATATGCATTGTACAACTTTTTCATATATTTTTGGATATCAACATAAATACCAGGGTATTTGGTTTTACTTAGTATTTTATTATGGAAATTATTTTTTTTGGTAGAGATTTCACCACAGAGAAAACAAATGAACTGTTAACAGATCAAGCATATTTTAACTGTTTTATTTCTGCCACTTGCATACAATATATTTGATTTCTTATGTACATCATAACATAATACGACTATACAGATATCTGCTTATTTTACATCTGAATTCACACAACATACAGTCTTAGGATTCATCTATCCTGTTAGATACTTTCTTCCAAAAAACTGGGCTTTTCTTTCAAATGCTGCTGATCTTATGGATGTATTGTGGTCATAAAATGGATTCATTGCATGCTGAACAAAAAATAAATGCATTAAATGAAGGAGCACAGAGTTGTACATGTATTACTTTCCTCAGCTATGATTCCTTATCATATTTAATTTGATAATGTATATAAATTTAATAAGCACAGAAGTTCTGTAAAATCCTGCAAACTTGAATAAGAGTGAAGTAAAAGACACATTTGAAAAATGAAGGTTACTTGGATGTGGCATAGAGCTTACTTAGAAAAGAAATTCTTACATTCACACTCCTTACAAGAATTATTTCTTTTATTAAAACCTTCCAAAGAGGTTATTCCATGTTATACGACTACTTTATAATAACGAGAAATAACACTTTAGAAAAACAGTAGCAGCACACAAGAAGCACATGACTAGAATTATCATACATGCACCTGTAACATCATGAGACTGTTAGTTAAACACCATGGATTAGATGTTAATTTTCTAATTCTAGAACATATTGTCAACATCATGGCAAAACTGGTTATGCCCAGAAATCCAGTTTTACATGAGAGGATAAGTTTTTCATTTCAACACAATAACACATCTTTTGTAGAAAAATGTGTTTAATATTTGAAAGTGGAGTATTTTATATTACGTTGATTTGATTACCTAAAATTAATGAACATTTTTACGTGAAAAAAATTGTGAAAAAATGGATTTTCCTGGTTTTTCATGACAATTGTGATACATAATATAAACATTCTATTATAAAGATTTTTTTTTTAAAAAGGCACAAACTTATATATATGATGAGTTCAAAGATAGCCTACCCTGAAGTTCTTTCCATTTCAACATTGCTTTTTTACTCAGTAAACAGTGTCTACATATACATACAATTGGTAAACTAAGCTAATGTTTCAGAACACTCCAAACATCTTTAACTTTATATTAACTGGTATGACATCCACAGTTCTAAAACATTAAACTAGAAACTTATATAAATGTAAATGATACACGTACATGTATTCTGCTGTGTGACTCACAAAAGCAGCATTGTTTTCACTGCTGAGCAACATTAACCTCTGTCTCTTACATCTGTGTAGATTTTATTAACTATGGAGTATGTGAAGAGAAAATATAGAATTACAGAATTAATTGTTAGTGACTTAAAAATGCACTTACCTTTATGTAAACTTCATACATCTCTGAAAAAAAGTTTTTAATTCCATCTTCATTTTTTATGTCATGAAGCATTAGGAATCTCATCTGTGTGCGAGGTTAAGGTATCTATTTAATAAAACTGCTAAGGAATACTGTACTCTCTCGATACATTAATAATAACAGATTATTTATTTTTCATACTCCTACATTGTATAGAAATAACTAAATCTTTATACATAATTACTTACACTACATATAATTTTCTTAACAATTTTAAGACCAAAATATGGTATTTTCCAAAACTAGTTTTAAAGATATCTTACTAATATTGAAATAAAATTTTTAACCTTGATACTAATATAACTCAAACACCACTGCTGTTTTATTTTTCCAAAAAAGATTCAAAATTTATGTCTTGTCAAATTCAACAGGCCTAACTAAGCCTACATTATATTGTACTCTTTTTACTTAAAAAACAATGCATACATATCATACACTAAATCTTTTTTCACAAAATATCCCCTCCCCCCCCAAAAAAAAACAACCTTATTCCTCCTTTCTTTTTTAATTTCCTTACATTCTCCCACTTTTTTTTTTATCTAAAATAAATTAAAGTTTATAGATATTTACTTTCAGGTTGTAATAATTAATTAATTTCAGAGTGAGGGTGTTGTTTGAAAAGCACTGCAAATTGTGATTTCCAAACTCTAGGTTCAAGATTGGTACTCTTATGTGATTACATTTTACACACTTATTACAAAAAAGAAAAAAAAGGAAAAACCAGTTTTAACTGGGGAGGAAGGGTGGGAAATGTGAGAGGAGGTAAGTACCTATCAGAAATATATTTTCAGTACAGGAAAATAATAACTTCCAATGTGGTATCTTACCTCCACTTACATGTATAGCTAGAATCCCACATTGAAGAGGTGGAGGGACCAGTGCGAGGGATATAAGGAGTATCCTTCTAAGGTGTTCGAAGAACAAACACCCATGAAGTGTAATCACCGTGTGGAAAGGAACACAAATGGGAGACCACACCACTTATGATGGGGCTCGTGAGATTTAAAACCTACATTACTGCCAAGTTCATTCATTCATTTACTGTATATGCCTGATGACCTCTTTATTGAGCGAAGCATGTCATCAGCAATGAATATGATGAGCATAGTGTTGTTGAAATACTACTTTTATACACTTTTCTAATTCTTGAAAGTCACTAAGATACTAGATAAAGAATATAGTGTTAATAATGAATTATAATCATGCTTTACCAGCTTGGAAAAGGTGTTCACACATGACAATTGTTACTATAATGCTCTCCAATTTTTACTACTCAATTTTGCCTTTATTTTTAAATATATCTTTGGTACCTAATTTACTTCATCAGTTACCCGAAGTTCTAAAAATCTTAAAGCAGAAAGATCGGAAACATGATAGATATTTTCTAAATAACTTTAAGTGGGATTTCCATTTTTTAGCTTCTCAGGTAGTTTCTAAAATGCTGTTTGACAGAAATGTTTATATTTAAAAGAGTCCTCACAGTAAAATACAGACATCTATTACACAACATCATGATTATATAAACCTAAATGAAAAAAGCATGTTTTAAAAAATTTCTAGTGCCTTAGTTTATGCTGTACTTATTTTTATGCATACTACCAACAAACAGTTTGCTAAAACTTCCAAGGATATTGCTTGCTGTGACAAAAGCAGAAACAAACCACTCATTGAATTTGTCTACTACTTTTAAGTACATACTGCTAGTAGCCCACATGTGTTCATCAACTAGATCAAGAGCAGCATGAGCAATAAACTGACTAAGATGTCTATGGTCTTCTTTCTGAAACAAAAAACTTATAAATATTATCAAGTCTAGGACTTGTAAAGTTATAAAAGTAGAAATAAAACAACCATCTATGGCAAGTTACTTATAACCAGCATATTGATCTCCACATACAAAACAAAACATACTCCAGTAACTAATGTCCTAAACAGAAAACACAAATACTGTATGACAGTGTTACCATTTTCCTTAGCTGAATGTGTATTTCATAGAAACTCACCTCTCGACAGTACTGATAAGTACTACCTTACACCAAAAACTTTACTACACGTAATGCATGCACCAAACATTGAACAAGACTCCAACCCCTACATGTTCTAAGGTATACTGTGCCAGTCTATGATGCAATCAGCACACATTCTCCATGCACAGTAAACTCCACAATACTAGTGCCTTAACAAAGGCTTATTCTTGGTGGCACAAAAGGAACACATTACAAGTGTGTTCTTTTATCCTGTTGTCTACCAGAGACAGCATAAAGACATCAGGGGCCTTTATCCTATCATTTCTCCAGGTAATCTTGTAAACTTCAATCCAAAACTCGGATCTCGGAAAATACCGCACCGATCATCACCAACCATAACTGGGTAATATTTTTATAACTAGGCAGTATTTTTATAGCTGAGAAATAAATAAAACAATTGAAATTTCCACAAAAATGATGTGTTTCAGAGTTAACCAATAACGGTTACAAACAAAAAGGAATAAGTTCCAGATTTAACCAATAAAAATTACAAAATGTGGAGCAAGTTTCAAATATAAAACAATCAAAGACAAACTTAAAAAAATCATTTGTTTTTCTTTAGTGAAAATCTCATGAGTGTTGCAACAGAAAAGCAAGGCACTTTCATTGATAACTACATCTACAAAGAAATACTTCAATAAAATCTACTCTGTGATATAATGCTGTGATGATGGCTCATTTTTAAATTAAATTTTCAATAAAATCCTTTTTCTCATGGATGGTGAACATTATTGAATGTCCAGTACGAGTACATTGTTGTAGAACTGTCAGATAATTCCAGAAATGGCCACAGGCCCAATAACCCTACTGCAGGAACTAACAGAGGGTGGGTATTTCTGCTAGTTATTCTAAATATAAGAAGTATTAGGGACAAAATGGATGATTTCAAGATTGAGTTGAAATGGAAGACTGATGTAATTGAAATTGCTGTAACTTGGTTAAATATAGAAAACACCTATAACAGGAATTACTCTGAAATTCCAGGTTATAAGTTATTTAAAAGTCACAGACTTTTTAACCCTAAAAATGTTAGTTGATCATACAAAATTTGCTACGTTTTGGTAGCAATTTGAACAAGAGAAAATTCATTACAATAAATAGCCCAATTTCTCTTTGCATAATTTTAGGGTCAGATCTATTGCTTCAAAAACACTCAATAAAATTTTCAAAATATTTTGGTGCTGATGAAGTCTTCTCAAAGGAAGAATACTTCTGCTCAGACCTCTTCAATCTTGACCTTGATTTGCACTGTTAAAATGGTTTTTTAACATGTTTGTGACATCTAGGATACTTTGTGCACTCAACAGAAACAACAATAAATGTTTTAAAAGTTATGATTTAAATAATGAAAGCTAAAAACCAATAGGTCTAGAATTTGCAATAAAAATCATGTACAACTTCAATGTTTGTTTCCACATTCCCCTAAATTTCTGGCAAAAGGTATCTTGGGCAGTGATTTGTAGGAGACAAAAGATTGATCTGAAATTCAATTTTTACACACCTTGTATTCTTCAAGGAACATATGCAATGGACAAGTTAAGAGGAATAAGGAAAAAAAAATCATCGGTAATTAACATGTTTTTATCACAAATTTTAGGCCTCTTGGTTTGTAATGCTATTTTTACACAATTTTGAATGTGCAATGGACATTTTTTTTATGATTTTCATTAGTTGAAGTCTGATCAGTGTTGTCCAAGTTTGTCAACCACTGACAATGACAATGAAAGTGGTTACAATGAGAAGAACAAAATAGTCTTGTTCTTATAATTCCTCCTACTTTACAATTTTCTTGGATGTTTATGAATGACATCCACTGTGACTGCATTCACAACATTTACATTTCATCCAAACATCAAACCTTGTACTTGCAACTGAGCCTATGGTAAACATGATTTTCTGACATTCTTCCAGTGCATACTGACCAGTATTGAAAATAAGAGTTAAATAGTTAATTACTTTGCAAAAGGCAATGTATGTTCATCAAAATCTAGACACAAACTGTGCATAGAACTCATTTTCTAACAATGACTTTTTTGCAACAGATAGACCAACGAGTATAAAAGTTCTATTTTTCAAAGGTGTATCACTGAAAGGCAATTTTTGTATTTATTATTTGCTGGATATTATTATGACCACAACAGCTACTATATAAAAGGTGGAAAAGCCTTTATATAATTGAAGAGTTGGATCCTGTCTGGAGTGAACATATAAAAACAAATTAGTGGGTTCAAAGATAGATCTAATTTGGAAATATTATAGCCAGTCTGATCAGACAGATTATGTCAACAATAAATTGTATAATAGGAGACAGATGTTATTGATCCAGTGATTAAAGAAAACTTTAATTTTAGACTAGTATGGAATCAAGTAGTGGGAGAAGACACGTTTCATGAAGAGATTTAGGATGTTTTTTTTTACACCAAACTGTAAGAGAGCCAACCAGTGGGATGCAATTTTAGATTTATTTTTAACCATTAATGATGATGTTATAAAAGATGAAGTTTTTACAAGAGAAGATTTTTAGTTACATTCTTTATCCTAAACAGTCTAGGATTACCAACTTTCCTACTTTCGGTTACCCTGAACAGTCTAGGGTTACCAACTTTCCTACTTTCAGTTACCCGAACAGTCTAGGGTTACAAACTTTCCGTTACCCCGAACAGTCTAGGGTTACCAACTTTCCTACTTTCAGTTACCCCGAACAGTCTAGGGTTACCAACTTTCCTACTTTTAGGTTACCCTGAACAGTCTAGGGTTGCCAACTTTCCTACTTTCGGTTACCCTGAACAGTCTAGGGTTACCAACTTTCCTACTTTCGGTTACCCAAAACAATCTAGGGTTGCCAACTTTCCTACTTTTGGTTACCCTGAACAGTCTGGGGTTGCCAACTTTCCTACTCTTGGTTACCCTGAACAGTCTAGGGTTACCAACTTTCCTACTTTCAGTTACCCTGAACAGTCTAGGGTTGCCAACTTTCCTACTCTTGGTTACCCTGAACAGTCTAGGGTTACCAACTTTCCTACTTTCGGTTATCCAAAACAATCTAGGGTTGCCAACTTTCCTACTTTTGGTTACCCTGAACAGTCTAGGGTTGCCAACTTTCCTACTTTTGTTAGAACAGTCCTACTTAGAGATAAAATGTGTTTATGTTTTACTACCAACTGTTGTGGAAGTGTTCATTTACTTTCTTTAGGAGGCTACCCATGTGACAAAGTGTGTTAAGGAGGGGTCAAAAAGTCGCATAAATTGTGGGACATTCTTTACGGATGGCCCCTTACAAAAAAGTCTTTCTTCAAAATTTTCAAGACTTGGAAACCATACTGAACATTTTCACAGCTGTTTAATGTGTTTTAATTTTTCACAAGACATTTTTAAGAGAGGATTGTGGAAAGGTTTGTTTACACATGGTTCTAATAACATTTATTGTTCAATAAACATTAAATCTATGGCATTACTTGAAACTAATATCTAGTATTTGTGTGTTCCATAAGTATGAGTTAGATTAATATTTCTTCAAGTTATTTTCATTAACAGAATTGGTTAGAATTTTTAAAATATCTAGTTGTAACATTTTTATTGTTGTACTTTTATTATAGAGATTGTTTTGTATTTTTAGCTTAGTATACAGACTTTGGACTAACCTAACTTTTCAACACTGATCAAAATTTGTGAAATACTATTAGGATTACAGCCAAAAATATTGTTAACAGCAAGGGTATCTAACTGCATATTTAATTAGCTATACTTATTACCAGGTTGATACTTTAGTTTGCTCTAAGTAGGCAGCTGCAATGATCAGTAGTAGTTAATATTAATTATACGAGAAATATTGGAATTGACCTGAAATCTGTAGATATTAATTCCCTGGTGGTAAGTAATGGCAAGGCGATTAAAAATAAATAAAGCACAAGGGCCAAACAAGGATTACTCTGGGGTTTAAAAGTATGTCAAAGATAAGACATGCAAGCCTCTCTTTCAATTTTTGGTAGGCTCAATAGACAGTGGGCAGGTGCCCAAGAATTGGAGAGTTGTTAATATTACTTCTACTTTTAAAGGGGGTAATAAGAGTTGGAAAGAAAAGGCAAGTTAGTCTTAATTCTAGTGTCTGATAAATCAAGCTTTACAAAATTCTTTAGGAAAGTATGATACATTAAAAGAAAACCATCTTGGAATTACCAAAGGGAACCACTTGTTTATTCTAAGGATGTTATTTATTACATAGGCAATGAACAGTGTGTGAGCTTGGTGTGCTTAGATTTTCACAAAGGTTTTGATAAGGAGCCACAAAAAAGAAAATCACACTGGTAAGGGTTGGAGAAAAATTAGTTAATTGGACTGTATGGTAGTTGGGTGGGAGAAAGCAAAATGTTGTTATTAATGCAGTCCAGCCATACTTGGGTCAGTGCTTGAGCCTTCATTTTTTTCTTATTTAATTTAACGATTTGATAAGGGTATAATTATTAAATTAGTATAGTGTGCTGATGCCATTAAACTCTTGGGTAATTCTAGATATACCGAGAATGTTGAGGCATTACAGAACGAGCTGGATCAATTGGTTAGTTAGACAAATATTTGGCAAATGACTTCTAATTACAGTAAGTACAAGGCAATGGAGTTTGGTTATCATACTTCGGATCACAAATTTAATATAGCTGGGAACCCACTCAGTGACACGATTAAAGAAATGCAATGGCTAGATACCCGGCAGCCAGGAATGATCTTTCAAATACTAAATACCCAGCAGTCCAAATATGTGAATATTGATGAGCTACAACACCAACAATAATTAATAATAATGATAATAATACTAGTGATAATTTCCAAAAAAATTATATCACAGATTATATATACATATATAAATAACATAAATTATCATGTTGGAAGCTTATCAATATTAATGATTGTGAAGTTATGTACTGCCAGGTATCTATTATTTTGAGGATTATTTCCAGCAGCTTGTAGCAAACACATAGACACTCACCAATCGACACTAAACAACAATGACAATCAATATTTATTTCTCGAGGCCAAAAGTTTTATTCAGATCGTTTCATTGAGCTTGAAGACAAATCAGTCTTGTAATTAACTATTATTCTTTCTCTAAGTCATGTGAAAAATGATCGTAGCTCACTAATATTCAAATTTTTGGACTGCCGGGAATTTAGTATTTGAAGGACTATTCCAGGCTGCTGAGTATCTAGCCACTGCATTAAAGAAAATAATTTTGCTATAGTATGGATAAGTCAATAAGTCATCAAACAATTTCTCTGTTGCTCGTAGTAAAGCTAATAAAATTTTAGGGTGTATTTATAGAAATACTGATTAAAAGTCAAAAGAGATAATTATCTCTCTATAAGAATCATTAATTAGGCCTTACTTAAAATACTATGTATATTTTTGGTCTCCTTATTTAAGAAAGGCTACTGACTTACTGGAATTGGTTCAGAGGAAGTCTGCTAGGAAAAGCATGAAAGGGTTATCTTATGGGAATAGGTTATAATATTGTATTTTCTTTTGAAGAGGCATCTTACCAGCATTTACTAGATTAGTCAAGGATTTACAGGGTCCTACTTTTGAAATTCCTGACTGCAACCCACATAGATCCAAACTCTTTACTACCAATTTTTATGTCTTCACTCCCAACAAGATACAGTTTGTACCTTATACAAAGAACCATTCCCTCCCTCTTCAAAGAAAAAAGGTCTTTCACTTGAGAAACTTATAGCCTGGAATTTCAAAAGAACTCCTTTTATCATTGTTCTCCAAATCTAACCAAGTTTCAATAATTACCATTGTAATGTAGTTTTCCATTTCAACTTGAGCCCTGAACTCATCCATTTTGTTCTTGATATGAAAAATAGAATGTACAACAAACTGTCTTCATTTAAACTGCACATTCTTTAATATGTACAGCATTTTTCTTGTTAGTCCTTTATTTTCTATGTATTTTAGTTTTGGTTAAATTACACATGCCTGCACACTTAAACTTCATAAAAGTTGTTTTGGTTTTAATAACGGATTTTACATTATTCAGTTACGCAGATTTCAAAAATAATATTCTTTTTTTTTATCACGCAAGGATTTTTTACAAATCAGGAAGAAAAACTTAGATCAAATTATTATTTCTTTTACCACATTGAAATTTTTTTATTATGCTTGTTCACAAAAATACAAACAAACTGAAGAAAAGGGAAGAACACTGGTGTCAAGTGAATGTGCATCCTCATTCATCCTGATTTTTGTGTGAAATCTATGTTTTTAATCTCAAAACTACATGTTGTGGTCTTTCTCTTATGTATTTCATTATGATGTTTTATGACATTATGATGGAGAAAAATGAATATCATTTTTGGATTCAGCATGCAGGAATTACTGCAGAACATATAAACATTTCAAGAGAATAAAACTGTTGCAGGCCTGTGTTATCTTTAACGTAATTTGGTAATTTACTTAGGACTGATGTAATTCTTTATATTTTTGCTTTAGATACTGAAAATGGAATCTCTAGAATTCTGAAACGTTTATCTGTGTCCCTTCTGACATAACTTATAAGTAAGCAATGTTGTTCATCATAAGTGTCATTATCCTTTTAATTGTCAAATTTTATTTTGCTTTAAAATAAATGGAAAATAGAAAGAGGCAACAAAACTGGAATTACTCATTTTGATTCCTTATTATATATGGGAGCTTATCTTTGGATATACAAAAAATGCTGTGTGGAGAAGGAACAACTTCAGTGACTCCAATTTTATTTTGTTTTGAAATAATATTCTTGATTATCTTGACAATATATGTGATAGTAAGTGTCACCAAAAGTAATAATTCTCTTAATTACCTTGAAAAAATAAGTAAACTAGAAATTAGAAAGTAATGCAAAAATTGAAAACACTTCTCTTCAAATTTTAATAATTAAAATAGTGTTTTATTCAGGAGTCTGTAATATCAATAAGAAATTAATAACATTAACAGTAACGAAGTTCAGGTATGAACTCGGATCCAATACATAACTTCTTACGTTCTCTTTTAACTTTTTTTTTAAGCAACAATAACATTAATTAACAAGTTTCCTTAAATCTTAACTTACCTTCATATCCGATTTACTTGGGGGAATGAATTCCATTTCAAAGACTGGATTATCGTAATGACCAACAATAACAAAATAGTAACTACCAGCCATTATAACAGACACTTAAAGTTTCGTTTAATTGTACTAGTAGAATAATATCGAGTTATAGCACCAAAACAATTAAATCAGTTTATTACTTTTTGCCTTAAAGTGCTTTGCGAGATATTTAACGCCATCTATTATCAATGTATTTAAATCAAAGTATATTTTGCTTTTTATATATATTTATATGGGTACTCAGAAATAAACACATTCATAAATGTACTATTGTTTTAATTCAATGAAACAACGTTTGATTATTTTAAAATTATAAACAGTATTCGTATATGCTAAGCCATTCCTAATCTAGTACTTTTGACCAGAGGAAGATCAGTCAACACATCTATCGCCTAAGCAGGTACTCTTAGCCGAATAACAGGACTGACTGACACTGTTATAACGTTCGCCACCGCTGAAAGTGCGGAGCGTTTTAAGCGGTATATCGTGGCTCGAATCTTAGAACTTTCAATACATAGCACGACCTTTCAGAGGTATAGAAAAAAATTCACACCAATGTCCATCAGAACTAAGAAGTTATTAGCATTTTAGAGCTTCTATTGCCACAGAAACAAGCAAAAGACTAAATGATGTGTAGCTTAGCTGTTCAATTTATTATATTGTTACGTCTCCGTTCGTTAGTTAATTTTCCGTAAAAATTCTTTCTGATGAAACTTTAGCGACACAAGTCCTTTCTTAAATAAAACTGGTTTATTCTTTCTGAATACAACTTTGCAATACACTTAATTTTCACAGACACGCTATAACAAACGCTATAATTCACAACGAACGCCTCACCGGCTCGACTGAACAATATGTCTCTCTCTGTCCGCAGTTCAATTACACATTAATTACATTGTTGGTGTCACGTCTTGACTGTCTTATATATAAAAGAATATTGAAGTCTAGTAACCTCCCGAGGATTCACGAAGCTTCGAGAATATGACGTTTTACTAGGGTCACGTGACCTCCGCTGTCGTAACAATATTATATAATTAGTAAACGAGGGGAAAATTGAGATGTTAACTTGCACATACAGTGCTTCGTATAAGAGCGTTGTTTCACTTGATAAATGCACTGAACAGATTATTTGATGATTGTCCATTTACTAGTAATGTAAATCGTATTACTTTGAATTAGTAATTTGTTTCCATACAACGTTACCATGTTATATACAGCTTTTAGATTTTGAGCTGACTTATAAATCTATAAACCGCAGTAATCCTTGAAAAGAGAACTGTACATCTGCTTTTTAAAAAAAATATCAATATCATATAGTTTCCAAATAGATCAGCGTAAGTTTACGGACGTACAACGCTAGAATCCGGGATTTGATTCCGAGTTGTGGACAGAGAGCAGATAGCCCATTATGCAGCTTTGCGCTAAAAAAAGAAAACAAACTATCATATACTGATTAATGATATCCAATGACACCTAATGATAAAGACATATGGCGAGTAAAGACTACAATAAGATTTTCAAATAAATCGTAGTATATCACACACTGTCCCCGGGTGGATCAGCGGTAAGTTTACGGACTTCCAACGCAAAAATTAGGGTTCACTTCCTTATTGTATAGCTTTGAGCTAATAAACAACATCATATATTACCTAATATAAAGATAGACAAAAAGTACAAAAAGTACTACTATTATGAGAAACAGCACTGAAATTGTAAAAAGTTCTATTGAGGTGAGATTTAGGCTGATTTTTAGACACATGGCCTGTGTCATGTACTTCCCCTGCCTCGTTTTAGTGTTAATGTGATATTTCAGGTGATTTGTTTGTTTTTTGTTTTGAATTTCGCCCAAAGCTACACGAGGGCTATCCACGCTAGCCGTCCCTAATTTAGCAGTGAAAATCTAGAGGGAAGGCAGCTAGTCATCATCACCCACCGCCAATTCTTGAGCTACTTTTTTTACCAACGAATAGTGGGATTGACCGTCACATTATAACGCTCCCACGATTGAAAGGGCGAACATGGTTGGTGGGACGGGGATTCGAACCCGCGAACCTCAGATTGCGAGTCAAGCACCTGGCCATACTGGGCCCCATTTCAGGTGAAAGGGAAAATTAGGTTGGCTCGTTATATAACGGGAGGATTGACACGATATATCAGTAAGTGATGCGCTGAATTTACAGAGTTTGAGCAAAGAAATAGACTGACACGATATGTAACACACAGTGAAATCAGTCTTTATTTATTAAAGACACAGAGTACAGTGTGTGTGTGTGTGCTTGCATCTGGATGCTAGACGGTCGCCTTCGATTGAATTTGTGAATCAATGAAACTGGTTTCTTGCCTCGGGATGTATTCCCGTTAGCTAATTTCTTCAAGAGCTGGTACATGAATATTTAAATCTATTTGTATTCAAACATAAAGAAAGCTGTGGCCTCAAAATATCACCTGACCTACCATTGGAGAACACTAGTTGTATACCTTCTTGTATAACGTACAGCATTACAGACATTGTTCCGTGGGCAGAACAACTGTTATTTATCTCCATAGAATAACAAAGAAACACATGTATCTGGAACAAAATCAACAACCTCCTTGATCACGTGTTATGCGAAACATTTATAGACTTAGGACACACGATTTTTATTCCAAAATGTTAAATTAGAATAAGAAGGCAGAAAATGTATGGTATTCTTGCATACCACATCAAGACCAAGAGTCAAATTCTACCGGTACTCACAAAACTTTGTACCAGATCTTTTTGGAAATCCAATTAGTGTACCACTTCTATTTTAGAATTCGGTACCAAATTCCTTTTTTTTGTGTGTGTGTGTGTGTGAAAATGTTTATTGGTAAGTCTGATGGATTATAACACAGACAATTAGATTTCGATACCGCGGTGAGCAGAACGCAGGTGGCTCCTTGTCTAGATTTGTGCTTAACAACAACCAAACAATTTATTGTCAATAAAAATTAATTAGTACGTAAAGAACCATTGATACTCCATACACTGTCAAAGGTTTTAGTATAATTTTATCATTAACTGGAATGATATTTCGATTACTACACTGGATATTTTAAAATGTATAGAGTGCATTTTTGAAGATTTCGAGGACGTACATCCACTTTTGTGTTGTCTTACTGATGCTGGAGCTCATCTCTAGATTCATGATCATTCGGCCTGTGATGTTGGAATAAGAATAAGGTACCTGGATTAAGAAAAGCATGAGAAGAATTTCCATAAGAGGGAAGATATTCAGTTAGTACCTCGAGTCAATTTAGACGCACAATAAAGTAATGGAAGTCACAGAGGAAAAGTGGCACAGATTTTTTAGCTCAACGGTTGCTTAATGACATTTAACTTCTGGTAACAAGGTATTCAATATTTCTGTTGTTTTTGTAACAAAAAAAAAGACAAAATTGAGAACATAATCGGATAGCAGCTTTTTCAAATATTTGTTACAGTGCAAGGAAGTAGTAGCTCTTAAAAAGAACTACAACTTTATAAACCCGATTTGACATTGTTGTTTTTATTTTCTGAGAAATATGGTTGTAAGTGTTAATGGTTTTCAGGCCTTCAAAGGTTAAAGTTATAAAACATGCTGGCTAGTATTCTCAAATTTGCAAATAAAATCTAACAGAAATTACTACTTCTCTAATTCATATAGACTATTACTTTACAATATATGAAATAACCATGCGGTAATTTTTTCTTTCTCATTTTTCAAATCCCTAGAAAACTACAATAATTTTTCATTGTATAGGTCCCTGGTTAGGCCACATTTAGAATATTGTGCTCAATCTTGCGCTCCTTACCTGAGAAAAGACATAGAATTGTTGGAAAAAATTCAGAGGAGAGTTACTAGAATGGTGCCTGGAATGGAGGGGTTATCATACGAGGAGAGGTTAAGATCTCTGAAATTGTTTTC